TTATTCTGCCTAAGCTGGCCTTGATATGATGTTATGCCTACTTAGCCTTTTAGATGATCATGCCCAAATGTTATTCTAATTTTCCATTTTTAGGTAGCAGTATGACTTAGGCCTATATTTTTCGAGTTACACCTGATGTTACTACTTTCATCCCTCAATATCTCTAAGCATAGTGTTATATGAAGGTTAAACATAGTAACTGCATCATAACAACAAATTATAATGGCAACTGGTACATAGTAAACAAGACAAACGTTTCATTTATTTATTTAATTTTTTGTATAGTCTTCTTGTATCTACAGTCCCTATGCTGACTTAATTTATGTTCTTTTTTTGTGCATGTTAGGATTGTATGTTATTGTCATTTTCTTTTTATGTACCTATTATGCTCATCTATGTTTGGATTCTTTTTCTATTTGCAGCACGCTTTACATTATTGTCACAGTAAATCATTGAATATAGCTTGCTATCAATTAATTATGTCCCAATGTCTAGTTGTGGGAATGAACAAACAATATTTAACATTATTTTGGTAGTTAATTCCAGTATATTCACAAATAACTTTAGAAGGATGTTTACTTGAAATAGTCAAATTTTCAAAATGCTCAAAACCGTGCCTACTGTATTTTTGTATCCAGTTATAGCTCCTTAGGATAAACAGTGACCCCCAATTTCTATTACATGAGTTGTAGATATGACTTTATAGATCATTATGGCTGATTGGACATTGTGATGTCATCATATTGCCATCTAAATTCAAAATTTATGACGTCATTATTTTTATATCGAACGTATCTCGCTTTTTCTTGATCGATCATCCCCAGCTGTAAGTATGTTATAGCTGAGACAATTTCCTTTCACAAAGTGTCATTCATTTTTCACTTTGATGATGACATTATGGTCAAATGAGTGTTTTTCTGACCCCTCCCCCAACTCTTTCTTTCTTCAAATCTTTGACCACCCTAAAAGAGGCGGCAGACCGAGTTTCAACACTAACATGGTCAATTTCGTATGCCATTACTGGCCAACATGCATTTTTAAATGACAATTTACACAAGTATTATAGTTTATAATCACATCATCATGGTCAAAATGAATGTTTTTTATGACCCCCCCCCCCTCACTCACCTTTCTTCCTTCAAATCTTTGTCAAATTTTATGATTGATAATGACGCCCTCAACAACAGGCGTTTTTCAATGAGTGTTGACACATGTATATCTCATATCAGGAGTCAACTTTCTGTACCATTACCGTGCGCAAGTGCGTAATGGCGTGAGCGTATTTTTTAAAAAACTAAACTAGAGCATGTTATAGGCCATAATTTGAGCATTTATATATTTTTTAATCCACGCCGCGCACACTTCCTGAGGATCAAAGTTCAAATGTGCGGCGGATCACCGTACTCGTTCAAAGTGACGAGTTCAAATCTAGTTTAATCAATTAGTGATTTTGAGCATTTTTCAAATTTTGATACATGCGTATGCGTGCGTTATGATGCACGCGCATGAAATTAAGATATATGACATTCAATCTTGACCTGAAGTTTATGTCCACTGAGTATGATTTTGAAATGACAATTGGTTAGGATGATATGATCGATAATGTAACAAGTAACGAAAAATGCAAAATTGCGCGTAGATGACGTCACGCATGACTGAGCACATTGAAAAGCTTATTGTCACTATTCTAGCAAAGCCAAACGTTCGTTGAAACTCTCATGTTCGTAGCTTTTGGCAATTTTGAGATATCGTGTTAACAAAAATCGCCAGAAAGAAAGAATTAAAAAAAAAAGATAATCTCTGACAATAATGAGGTGATCCGGTGGGGAAGTGGATCACCAATTATATTATCATATACACGGGTAATACGGTCTTACCTTCTACATAGTTGTTTAGTGTGGAAGAGGTTGCCAGAGCCTGGATATTTTTAGCCACAACTCTACTATGCCGTTCGGCCTTATACGCCATCTTGATTTTGTCGATGTTTGCACAGTCACCCACAGCAAAGATATTGTCATGACCCTCGACCTGAAGTGTGGGACGAACCTTCAAGCTACCACTCTCATCCATACAATCACCTATATACAATGCAATGCATAACATTACCAGCTAGTTAATTTGTAATAGTTACTGCTAACCAAGACTTTTGCTTGTACAGGGCAGATTGTGGCGACAGGAACAAATTGAACCTACAATTTGGGAGTTTTGTACCCTTTAGGTACTAAACCAGAAGTGAGGTAGTGCCATAACCATCTTTGCCCTTAATGGACCAGCGTCAAAGAAAAAATACTTTAGATTCATTTCTGAATTCACCACTCAAAAAAAACCAAGCAAAAAACATTTCAAATTTGAAACAGCACGTAATACAAAACTTAACACAAAATTTTGCTTCATACATATATATGTTGAAGATATGTAGGCCAGGATGAAATGGCCGACCTATGACATGACATGCTATAGAAGGATGGTTTCTGCGTTCAATTTTGTCATACTCAGCAGGCAGGTTTTGCTTACAAATTTAAAAACTTGCTAAAATGTATCACTAGTTCTTATGAATCCCGATGATGTCAAAACAGTTTCCAAATAAAAAAGCAAAAATATTTCTCAACCCCAATATCCCAATCCCACCCACAGACATTTATGTGATGTCTCTTTCTTTTTCAGAATCAATGGGTTAAAAAAAAACTACTTTTCATTAAATCAGAATTAAATTTCATCACTTACCCAATGCTTTGGAGTAGACATCTGAGTTCACCTTCAATCCTATGCAGACAATAACTAAATCAGCTTCAATTTCTGATCCTTTGTCAGTTTTCACAACACACTTTGCCGATTCATCCACTGGGAGTTCACCGAGATTTGTCACTTTTTCTCCTACTCAGAACAAAAATAAAAACACAGACTGTTTCATGTTACATTCAGGCGTGGAAGAATAACAGAATTTGACAGGTTTATGTATAGATTAGCAGGTGGATATGCAAATGAAATAATATTTGTGACAATTCAAGCACCAGTAGAATTTGAGTTCCTTTTATTTCTTTAACGTGTCTGAAGTCATGATTTTGATATATATAATGTGCCAGAGACTTTTTTTCATAGAACTGAAATAAAGGAACTTCACTGATGAGCTATGCTTGAAGTGTAACATTGCAACATTAAAGCCAGGCTCAGGAGGAAAAGAAATTGCTGATATGTTGTAGAACTGATTCATATAAGATTCAAAAAGCATATTTGACGAAAACCTTGGAAGCGGTTAATGAGATACAGTTTTTTAAATATTTAAAAACTAGGGGTGGGGGGGGGGAGGGTGGATAAAAGGTTGGTTACTCCCCTTCTTCCCCCAGTTTTCAAATATTCAAAAATCTGTATCTCATTAACCGCTTCCAAGTTTTTTTTGACAAATTTGCTTTTTGTGTTTTAGAAAAATCAGTTTTATAACATCTAAAACAAAAATTTTCCTTCGGAGCCTTGCATAAATGAGCATGTGCATTAACGACCATGTTAGGAAGTATCAAAGAAGAGTCCCTTTAAATAAAAAAGAAATAGTCCAACTTTTAACTTTTTAAATTTTAACATATAAAAATAATTATATTTCTATTTTTATAATCATTTTTTAATATTAACTATTATTATGGTACTTGCCTAAAACCATCTTGACTCCCAAAGCCTGGAGCTGATTATGTACTTTGTCTCTGAATGATTGGCCCATCAATGGACTGATCAACACCTCACTAGAATGTACCATGGTGACCTCTTTCTTTGGGTAATCCACAACAATCTCACCTGCCAACTCTGTCCCTGATGCACCGCCACCAATCACAGTAATTTTTTGTGCACTTTTGATCTGAAAGGAGGATAATTGAAGAAATGACCAAAGTTTCTTCATTACTTTAAAGCTTTGAATATAAATAACAGAAATGACAATAATAATATAATTGTTGTTGAAAGGAAAAATAAATGTACTATAATTCCATTTTAATCTAGGACCTGACTATAATATTCTTTTTTTATTTGGAAGAGAATATCTCAACTGTTTATATAGGATAATTTGAACCCAAGGAACAACTTGGGATGTGTGCCAAAATCTCTACCCAGGTTGTAAAGCCAGAACCACCCCCTTACAAAAATGGCCACGTCCCCTTTTCACAGAAAGTGCAACTTCAAACTGAAGGCTAATCAGAAACTGATTTAATGAGTAAGAAGAAAACTATTAATAAAGATGATTATGATGATGATGAAGATGACAAAAATAATAAAAAATAATAGTAACAATAATCATGGTGCAAGAATATATAAGTCAAGGTAGGCTATTGCTCTTAGAATTTGGAACTGTTGCCCTTCATCCCTTCTATTTACCAAAGGAATTTTCACAAGTACTAGTCACAGTCATTTATATACACCCAAAAGCAGATTTCAAAGAACCTTGTACTAAGTCGCTGATATAGATAGTCATCTAAGGTGTAAATCTCCAGACTCAATCAAATTACTACTAGGTGACTTTTAATGAAATTGTTCTATAGTTTTAAAGTTATTGTAGGTTTTCTGAATAAAATGAAATTGAAATTAATTGAAATTGAAAATTGAATTTTGAAATTTGAAATTTGAGAAATGAACCAGAATTTTCTCCCCAAATCCTTAGAGTGAATATTGGTAAGGCATACTGCATATGTTACTTCGTATAAACCAATCTTGTCACTTTTGACCCTTAACCATTTTGTGCACTTTTATAGGATTCTAATTCATTCATCAACATTGCGTCATGAAACAATATTGGGAGCATATAAAACTACAGTTGTTTTAATTATATTTCTGCTGATTTCATATTATAAATGAATTGTGTTTGCTCTGAAAATTGCTATGAATTAGTTATAATTCTACCGTAACTAATTATGTCAATAAAAATAAAATTAAGAAAAATTGTATGTCATCGTTATATGAAAACATGCCAAAAACCCCTATTAAGGGGACACTTTTTTTGGTCCTGAAGGTGTCCCCTTAATAGGAGTTCTACTGTAATTCCATTCATGTTTTCAATAAACATTTTAGAAGATAGGTCACATTTGAAATGCTGTTATGGGTTTGATATCTATTTATAATATACCTCTTTTTATTCCGAAATTGCACATGCTTCTGTTTTTTTTCCTATCGGCACAATCAGCACTAATTTCATTTTTCCCATGTTGTTTAAATGATAAAGGAGTATCGTATCATATCGTATAATAACCATTTTTATGATAATAACCAAAATAAATAATAATAGTAATATTATATTCATAAACTGATTGCCTACCAACTCTATCTGCTTTTCATATTGTGTGATTGCTTCACTGACGCTGGTTTCTCGTTTGATTTTACCAGGGAAATCCCCTTTTGTTCCTGTTGCAATCACTAAGTAGTCATATGCAATTTCTTCTTGGCCTTCTTCCAAAACAACACATTTTTCTGATATCTTTATCTCCTGTACCCATCCCTTCTTGAATATTTCACCTAATACTGGTGCATATGGAATGAAAGTCTTTCTGGCAAAGCCTTTAGTAATTTGATAGAAGAAAAAAATATACAATGATACGAAAAATGAGTATAAATTGTGAATGTTTCAAATGCAATGCAGAATTAACATTGTAACATAAAAAAAACCCCCAATCATGAAATATAGATAATTGCAACAAGCATTCAGTAATCAGTGTAATTTGTGCCATTTGTAAAATTTATTTTACATAGAAATACAATTGCAAGGGTTTGCAATGGTAGTCTGGGAATTCATGGCTTTTCGATAAACTATTAAGATAATATAATGTACAGTAGGCATAATATTGACCTAAGATATAGGTCATTAAATATGACCTAGATGTATTAAGGTTCATTGTGTTGCCAAGCCCAACCAACCCAATATCTAAAAAATCTATTGTCATTTTTTTTGTTTTTAACAAGGAGAAACTATATATACACATATTAATTTGTGATGATTCAAAATACCATTTAAAACAATAAATTTGATATAGATTTTAGCTCTGTGCTTTATCATTTTTACTATCTAAAGTTTAAGGGTGATTGATGGTTTAAAACTTCTGGATATCTGAAGTAAGTGTCCCCCTCCCCACACACACCCCCTAACAGTGCGATGCTCTGTGTACTGTCCAATGAGAAAGTTCATCCCTATTTCTTTCTCTCTTACCTGGTTCAACACAGGCTCTTGGGGATGCAAAGTTTATGTGCAATCCATCTTTGGGGTCAATCAAAGTAATTTTACATTTTCCTTTCAATTTAATGGCTGTGTGCATTCCACCGTAGCCTCCTCCAATAATCACGACATGTTTTTCAGCTAATTCATGTGAATTTGAACCACCCATTGTTGCAATCTAATGTACTGGAAAAACGAACAATGGTTTGCAAATAATTCCTGTAATATAAGCCTACAGTATAGAGAAAAATAACAATGTATTTTTGTAGAAAATCTTTCTTTTATAAAGCTTCTTGAATTAGCCCCTAATAGGGCCTACACCATTCATAGCTACAGACAATAACCAATGCTCTTCAAACTTCACTGATAATAGGATGATTCACAAAACCATTCTCCAACAGAATTCATTCCGAGATCCTCACAGAGTGGGAAACAAAAAGAAACCCTGGACACTGTTAGGGATTTGAAAGGCCTAATCAATTTAGAGTCTTATAATCTGTTAATTACAAGGATGTTTTTTCTCCCAACGATTTGCATTTAGCTCTCTCAAAAGGGGTCTGCTCCACACACAACCTCTTACTAATGCCACCACTGAAAGAAAGCATGGCACTGACATCAGCAATAACAAACAGTAGAATACATTTAATAAAACTTAGACTACATATAATAAAATCCATATAGCAACCTAAAAATCACATAGTGAGATCTGATAAAAAAAATAATACAAATTTAATATTTAATGACAAACAAAATTTTACAGTATATTCTAATGCTTACAATTTCAAATTCCAATTACAATAATAACTAATTGAAAATACAGTATAGGCCTATGTTTTGATTATACATAGGGTCTACAAAAATCAATGTAATACAGCACTCACCTTTACTACTTGACTAAAATATAATTAATCATGGGAGATAATGTATTAATATTACCTATTGCATGGATTGGTTTATTTCTAATGATCTACTACACAAACCTATGGTTCAGTTAAAAAAATGATGACCTGCAAAATTCCCGGCACATGCTCATTCATATAAAATCATGGCTCAGCATACAGTAAGATGTCATCATAAAAATGAATGACTTGCAAAAAATCCCAGCCTAAGCTCATTCATATCATTATGGCTCTGCTTAATGAATATTCATTCATGCGGAAATATTGGATTATTCCATAAGTTCAAGGATTTTATCTCTACTTAAGATTTAATTCTTAAAACAGAGTATAAAGCAATATAGAAGCACTGAAAGTATCTACTTTTCAGCAAATAATAGTTGAGGTGAGACTTTATTACACCTTGTTTAGTGAACCTACCGCCCGCCAATAATGATGACTTTAGCCCTTCTTTTAAGATCTTTAAAAAATAAGTTCGCGAAACAAGGGATAAAAAAGTCTCACCTGACCAAAAATATCATAGTATCACTACTAACGTTTTCCTTCTCACATCATCATCATCATCATTACCATCATCCATCAGTCATCCATCTTCACGCTATGAGGACATGCTTATGATACGATGAGTGACTGGCAAAAATCCTACTCCATCAGATTACAGCTTTATTTTATCTATCATTCATAATAACAAATCATTGATAAATAAAAATTGGACTACATTTTAACTTGCCTACAAGTCGAATCCAAAATACCATTGAAAAATTGTTCAACTTACATAAAATTCAACTCACAGATTGTTAATTAATGGAAAACACAACAAATTTGGCATCTAAAATAAGTTTGACTTACAAATTATTCGGGGGTGGATCAACGAAGTGTACCCCATGAGTTCGGTGGTGAATCCAGCAGTGGGCGGAAGGAGGGCTTGATTATTTTACCGCTCACTTATTTTGAAAACAAACACATAGCAATGTCCCAGAGGGGGATTTTCTCCAACGATTTCATAAATATGGATGTAAAAAAAGGCCAAAAGACAGTCACCTAAAGATGGAGTCTTTTTAGCCAGAATGTAGTACTCCAGCTATAGAACAGCTATCCATGCCAAGTGGCGTAACACCTGCGCTCTCGTGCGGCGGACCGCATGGCCATCGGCCCTTAGGGGCCCCTTAAGTGCCCCTACCCATGAGGGTTCATTAGGGTCCTTGCTCTATAGCACCCTGATCCTCAATGGCTTTGTTAATACATAATAGCATAATGTCTCTGACATCGACTGTATGACATATATCATTATTAATCCAGTGGTTGTAGGGTGCCCAGCCGGCTGGCCAGGGCCACACTACATTTGTCAAAATAAAAAAAAAATTGAGAAAAATATTCAAATTTTAAGTCTGAATTGATGAGTGCCACTTCCGGGCATCTAGAGGTGTCATAATCTTAGACCTTTGCGACACCCGTGAGGGGAAGGGCGTCTAAGGGAGGGGGAGCATTTGTTGAGGAACACTGCTTTGAAAAAGCATTTTTACCATCTGAAAGTGTCATTTCCGAGCATCTAGAGGGTCCTATTCTTAAAATTTGCTCCAAAGGACCTGGACCCTTAGGGGTAACCTAGGGGCACCTTTGGTTCCCATAGGGTCCAGTATGGTCCTTACTCTATAGCACCCTCATCAAAAAGGGCTTTGTTGATACATCAGAGCATGTGTCACTTAACAATAATAATAATAATATGTCGTTCTTATATAGCGCTTCATGCCTTTACAAGGCCTCTAAGCGCTTCACATTACTACCCCGGTCATTGGATCAAACACATATGGAACACATTGAAATACCAAATTAAATTAGTAAATGAAATTATAGTATCATTCCATAAATTGCAGCTAGTAATCAGCGCAGGTTGTGTTGGAACCTACCAGGTACCCACTTGTACTCCTGGGTGGAGAGACCTACATTGACTGTAAGACATATATCATATTAGTTCAGTGGGGGTGGGTTGCCCAGCTGGCTCAGGATCCTCCTACATTTGTAAGCATTTTTTTTTAAATGGAAATAAAATATTCAAATTTCTAAGTCTGAATGAGTGCCATTTCTGGGTATCTAGAGGTGCAATAATCATAATTTGCTTTGCGACTTCCAGACTATAGGTAATGGATTAAAGCTTTGCGACATCCGTAATAGGAGGCGTGCCTAAGGGAGGGGGAGCATAGCTCCTCAAGGGAGGGGGAACATAGCTACTTTAGGGAGGAAGTCAATAATTTTTTTGAGGAACACTGCTTTGAAAAGCACATTTTTACCATATGAGAGTGACATTTCCGAGCATCTTGAGGGGCCTATTCTTAAAGTTTGCTCTCCTCAGCATGGTGTGGCTGAGGTCAGAAAATTTCTGGATTCCGCCCCTGAAATGTACCCTCAGTGGACAGAATGAAAGTCCACCGTCGCCTTGAGCACTAACTGCAGTGGACTTGCAGGGACGTAGCCAGGATTGGGGTGGGGGAGCCGTTATGCGAGGTACGTAGGAATGGGGGAGGGGGTCCAGGAGCGAATTCCCCTGGAAAGTAGCCTGCTCTGAAGGATTTTTGGACTGTTTTGAGATGATAAAGTGAAAATTGCAATAAACGCATTATAAATAATATTAGTAAGGCTAATGCCCCCCCCCCCGGCCCGGACTACAATTGACAAGTCCGGGCCGGGGGGGGGGGGACTACAATTGACAAGTGCATAACAATAATTATAAAATAAATACACCCAGCCGATACGCAGTGTGGCTAAGGAAAGTTTTGTTTTTCTGAGCACGTGCTCATTAACATAACAATACCACACATAAGGACAATTCAAGCTAGACGGCTTAAACCAGCCAGCTTCCTATCTAAACAGTTTTAACTTTTAAAAAAGTCCTTGGGTAGAACCGGACGTCATTTCGCCTGCGAATAGCCAGCTCGCGGTCCTCTGAATCACGGATCAACATTTTGGCCAATTAAGGCGAGGCCTAGCCTAGACTATGCAATTATATGTGGTTAACTGCTTATAAAAGCGTAGAATTTTGACAATCAGAGAGGCACTGACATTTAAACTTAGCATTCATATAAAATGCAATAAAATAATTGGAATTCACACCTTTTAAAGCTGATACCACTTCCCTTGCTTGTTTATTGTGTTCGCCTTTTCCACGAATCGGTAGAGATCTTCGAAGTGATGACAAACAACCCAAGTCAGTGGTGCGTAACCAATAGAAATAAGATAAGCTCTGAGGCTGAATTCTTGTCCTCATGTTATTTAAAAATTCACAACTCCATAATCGAGGGTCGTATCACATTAATTTTTTCTGGAAAATGTTCTTAAAAGACTATTCTACACCACTATGGAAACTGTTCTTAAAAGACTATTCTACACCACTATATGATTGAAAATAAAATTGAAAAATGTTTTTGACCTCTGAAATCAAGATGGAAAAAGAAAAGCCTATCTAAGTAGTGTAATAAAATAGGCCTATGCATTACAGTGCAGAAGCATAGTGCCGTACTGTTACTGTTCCAGGTACCGATAATATACAGATTTCTCTTATTATAAAGTACAAGTTATGTTTTATAAAGCAGTATAGTATAGTAAATCATTTTTTTAACACAAGAAACTCTCATATGGTAACTAAAACAATGCTAGTCTAGAGTACTACTAGTATCAAGCCCGTAGCCAGGATTTTGGTAGGGGGGTTCTTTTTGATACTGAGAGGGCACTTGCGAGCACCATTGGCTGGGGCCCCCCCGGGGGTGCAGGGCCAAAACCCGGGTGGGGATCCAGCATTCTAAGCATTTACAGGTGTTATTTAATTGATTTGAGAGGCCATACATTAAAAAAAATGTATATATAAAGAGGTAATTTTTTGAGTTTGGAAAAGGTAAAAACCAAAAAAAAACAAAACAAAACTACTACTTTAGTACTACAGTATTGGTAATTTAACAACAGTAGCATGATACAAACTCCAAAGAATCCAGTATGGTTTATTCTTTATTT